TGGGTGGGGTGGGTGGGCGTTGGGCTTCATTAATCAGAGCATTGCAACAAAAATGGGGTGAGTCTGACTGCAAGACTCCGGCAGAGCTTCTCTAGCCTAGTATGTCGTCTTTTCCTTCCACACTTCCTGTGGGAATCTTCAAGTTAAAATAATGAGAAATAAAGAAACATAGGGGATGACACCAGAACAAAAATAGACCCAGAGAGGACAGAAATAGACTTTGCCACAATTTGCAACTTTCTAGGTCCTACAGAGTGAAACTGACTAGCTGCTGGGCAACCATCGTCTAACTTCATAGGGTGGGTAGGCAGATGGAGGGAAACACAGGGAAATGGGCAAATAAGCCACCAAAACCCAGACTGACATCTCTCATTATTCTCTGAATGCTGCAGTGAAGAAAAGCAGGACTGCTGCATCTAAGGAGTACCTTTATTCCAGAATTGTGTGAACACAATATTTTTGTTTCTCAAATAAATCATGGAGCTCCTTTTTTTTGCTGGGGCACTGGAGAGAAATCAGTTTCAAAAATAGGGAATAGGGGAGGTGGCAGATATGAAAAGAACTCAGAAAACAAAGTGCTAATAGAGGGAGCTAATGCTGGGAGAGAAATGGTTGTAACAGAAGCTGGTTAGTGACTGGAGGGGAAGCAATATTCCCATGTCTCCCAACATGCCCAGAACAAACCTCTGGGCACACTCACAATGAGTCACCTGACCTTGGCTCACAGATGACAGACGTTACACACCTTGAAGCTATGGTGGGATGGTGTTGATTTAAGGTGGTGGGAGTAAGGTTACTTTCATACCAGTATAGTACTGATGACTCATAAGCTAGAGGCAGGATGAGAATGTCATGCAACCAAGGGATAAGATTGGAGTTTTCAGGGCATGAGATGCCACAGCAAACTGCAGGTGGGAAGAGTGTGTCTTAGGTTCCAGTTCCTTAATCATCCTTAGTGCCCTTCTTTGAACCCGTTCACTTTGGCTAAATCCTTAAGTGCAGCACCTGGAGATGGGAAGTTTGACCAATGCATTTGAAAACTATACTTCGATATCTGCAAATTTAAAAAGCATTTCCTCCATGGCTTCTTCCAAACCATCCCTAAAATGTTGGTGAGTATACAGCCCAGGACTAAACCTTGTGTCACCCCATTCAATATCTCACTCCAGTATGATGATAAACCATTAATGACCGCTCTTTGAGCATAGGTTTCAAGCCACTTCTGGATCCAGACAATTCATCTTATTAATCGAGAAGGGAAGTTTTAAAAAAACAGAAGAACATGTAATGGCAACCAATTAAATACATTTCTGGAAAGAAGGGAAGATCTGGGTTTTTTTATGTGACTTTTCTTAAGTTTTAAAAAAGCATACAAATAGTAGGATGAGTCTCAAGTTAGTTGCATTGATTTTCCATCTGTATTATATTTATTATACACACACAACACACACACCAACATGCCACAGAGTATTAGACCATATGATTCTTCTCACCAACTCTCAGTTATAGGGGTGGGATAAAAATTTTTTAAAAACTTTGAAATGTATTTTGGGAGAATAGAATCTAAGAGGGAAAAAAACTATCATTGAGCACCAAGTGCTAATTTCTCTGTAATGGTAGCAATGTTCATCTGTGTTCATTAGCCACAATTGCAGAGACAGCTTCCAGTGACCTTCTAGAATCAACCTCCTTCCTCTTCAAGCATTTAAAAAATGGTTGATGTATTCAGCCCTCCATCCTGCAGTTCCTGTGTTTATGAGGTAACAATGAAAACATTTATAAACCTCCATGGAATCAAGAAACCTGACAACAAAATTTGGAACCCTGCATAATCACAGTTCCTGATATTCTGGAGGGTTGAAATCAGGTTCAGCCTCAGTCCAGATCTTCCCCATGAAGACATCATGGAGATCATAGAACCAGAGGGCTACATTCAACATGAATCCCCACCTTCTCCCCATGCATTTTTCTTCAATGCTAGAAAAGGGCTAATGTTTCAAGAGGTCTATTGTCACCACCTCGCAAAAGTGGAAAAGAGAACAAAAGAAATTGTATCATGGTAAATGCTGTGCCCATCAGTGAGAAAGAATGGGACTTGTGTGAGATGGGCGGCTATATAAATATGAGAAAGAATGGAAGAGAGGGAGGTAAAAAATGGAGACCAAGGGAAAAAAAAAGAATCTATTCACTTCCATATGAAACATTATATGGGAGAGTTTATGTTTATTTCTTTTTTAAATAGGGGGAGCATCTAGAGCTATGCAGTGAGGGAAGAAGCGGTATCAGGGGAGACCACCAGAAGGCATCCCCAGAACAGATTTTGTCCCTATGCCCTTGTTTGAAGGCAATATATGTTCAATTGATCTAAATTTCTCTGCTTGGATTCTGGTGGGATCTCACTGGATTCTAGTCACA